GGCACCCGCCGCCGCGGCGGGGGCGGGCCGGGGCGGGCCGGGGGCGGGCAGCGGGGCCGGGCCGGGGACCGGGCGGCTCCGCAGCTCCCCCCTCCGGCACAGCGCTCGCCGGCGGGACCGGCTACCGGGACGGGCCGTCCACCTTGAGCCCCGACAGCCCCGGACCCCGGCAGCGCAGTCCCGGTGCGGGGCCGGGCGCTCCCCCCGCGGGGCTCTGCAGCCTCGCCGGGGAGGGAGCGCTGCCCGCCCCCGAGGCAGGGATGGACACCACCTCCGCGCCGGGCACGGGGGCTTTGCCCTCCCGCAGCCCCTGGTGCCCACCGCTCCAGCGCTGAGCCCCCTGCACCGAGCCCATGGGCAGCAGGAACCCCCGGGGTAGACCGAGGGATGAAGACCCCGGTCTGACACCCCGGGACAAGGCCAGCGGCTCCCCCGGGCTGCGAGGCGTCGAGGCACGCCGGACGAGGAGCCCGAATGAGCTCCGAGCACCCCCGAGCAGCCGGACACGGGACCGGAGCCGCCCTGTCCCCGTGGGTGGCGGAGCCGGGCCAGCAGCGAGGCCGCGGCGGTGGCACCACCTGGTGCCACGGGACAGAACCGCACCGGGCACCGCGTCCCCCGCCACGGCGGAGCCAGCGCCGTGCCCGGGGCGGGGCAGCTGCAGCCCCTGCACGGACCCCACGGGCGGAAACACCCCAAAAGCTGCGCTGCGGGCCACAGGGGCCCCATTCTGCAACATCACTCCCCGGGCTTGGCACGGCTGCCTTCAAGAACAGTCCCTTTCTCCAAACCATCCCCGGAGAACAGCACTGCAGCTCCTCAGCTGCCTCCAGCCCACAGAGGAGAGACCGATGCTGCAGCTTAACCTGAACGGGAGGCTGGAGATGCTGGAGCCGCTGGGGCCAAGGCGTCAAGAGGCAGGGGCTGAGCGGGGTCCCCGCAGCGCCCAGAGCACCAACTCTCCCCCCAGGACAGAAAGGGGCACTGCAGCCAAGGCCTGTTTGTGCCACCCCTGTGCAGGGTTCCACGTGGCCGTCCTTGGGCCATGGCAGGGCCGTGCCTGGGCTCACAGGGGCAGCTGCCCCAGGCCCAGCAGAGAGCAGCACTATGCCATTCCATCCCCTGCCCAGCTCCCAGGGCTGTTGTCCCCTGTCCCTGCCCAGTCAAACAAAAGGCACAAGTGGTTCTTTGTGCTGCGGCTGAGAGCTGGGTCAGGCAGGACCCATAATCCTCATCAAGGAAAATTAAGCCATGCATTGATTTTTCACCAGGATAGCATGAGGCCGGCTGTGAAAGCCTTGCATAACCCACTTACAGGCTGCAGAGCCCTGCTGCCCGCACAGCCCAAGGCCAGCTGATGGCACAGAGAGGCAGAAGCACTGACAGGAGGGACTCAGCTACCACAGCTCCAAGCTGCCAGCAGCTCTTTGGGTAGTTTAGCTATCAGAGCTACACTCTCCCCTTGACCCTTCCCAGGCCCTTAAAAGGAAGAAGTGTCCAGCTTCAGTCAATCGCCAGGAGCAGAGTACACAGTTACCTTAGGCCAGCTGGGAGCACATGGCAGCTTCCCTTCAGCCCATGGCCTTCACTGCCTCACTCCAGGGGCAGGAATGCTGGCAAAAAGCTCTCTGAGCTCAAGGCTGGCAGCAAGAAGGGACCCCCACCACCACATCCTCAGTCCTCTCCCCCAGGCCCTGCTCTGTGCACAAAGGTTTCACACTTTTGCTCACTTTCCTGCCCCAGAAAGAGCAGGAAAAAAACCTGCTTAGAGAAGCACAAGACACACAGGCAGCATGTCCTATGAGGGCTCCTGGGTGCTGAGGCTGATCCTTGACCCCACAGCCACAAGGCCTGAGGAACTGCAGAGCAGGGCAAAGCGAGACCTGTCCCAAACAGGCAAGTGTCCCCAGGGCCCAGTGCTCCTCAGGGCTCTGCAGAGCAGGGAGCACCACTCCCTCCCTCCAGGGAGGCCTTTTACACCCATCAAGTTGCAAATCCTCAACAATTAGAAGGCAGCCAGAGCTGGCACCAAACTGAGACACAGCATCATGTTTTGCAGCCAGAGGGTCAGGCAGCCCAGAGGGAAGAGACCAGAGTCCAGAGGTGGAAAAAAGAGAGAGGAATCATTTTTATTTGTGAAGTGTTAACAGATGGAACAGTTCAATGCTACCCAGCAGTAAAGGTGTTAGACTCCCCTGAGCACTCATCTGCTCATAAGCCCCCATGTCACGCACACACTGCGATGGCTCAAGCACAAGCACACACTGTTAAAACTCAAACCACCCCCAGCCCAAGCTCACTCTGCCCCATCCCCACGGCAGAGACATGAACCACCCATGGAATAAGTTACAGCAATCATTTATCCAGTGTCCAGCTCTAACTGCTCCTGGCTGCCTGTTTCAGAGGAACCAAGAACAGCTCAGGAGGGGCTAACTGGGAATCTGCCTGGCCAGGAACATGCCCTTTGCCAGGGAAAGGTGCAGCCTTGCTCCAGGTGATGCACTGGGAGAAACACAGAACTCCCCTCCTGAATCCTCTGGTCAGATCGTGTCATCTCCTGACAGCCACCAAAGCAGCTCCTCCCTCAGCCCCACATGCAGGTGGGACACAGGTGGCTCCCACCCCCCCACTCTGTACCAACACAAAGAAACCCAGGACAGAAACAGCCAGGGACCTAGACTATCAGGAACAGGGGATTTACATTTACAGGTAGAAAAACCCTCCCATGGCTCTTTAAAAAAAAAAGAAGTGTATTTTAGATTCTACAACTTAAGTTTCTTTAGAAAGTGAAATAACTGAATCTCAAGGACGCACTAGAATATTCCATGGTGCTATTTTACCAAAAAAAAAATAGAAGAAACCAAAATTGTCCAGACGAGTTCTTCATCTACATGTCACCTGGCAGGAGAGAAAGAAAAGCCAGTTAGACAATCCAGTTGCACCAGTAGGGCTGCACTGTGCTAGAGGGAGCTGGTGGAGCCCATGCTGGGCCAGAAGAGCCTCTGGCTCCACAAATGCTTCGGCTTCTCCCAGAGACCCTCTGCAGACACAGACACTGCAGGTGTGGCTCTGCCCCCAGGTGTGGCTCTGCCCCCAGGTGTGGCTCTGCCCCCAGGCCTGACACTCACCTGGCCCCACTCCTAGTTTGCATTTCTCTGGCGGACGTTCTTGTCCTTGTGGTTTGTGGCATTGCTCTTCCTGGGAAGAAAGAAAGGACATGAGGAAAGGGAGAGCAGAAAGCCCCCCTCCCCGGCCCACTCATGTAATTCAGGTCCAAACAGATGGTGCAGCTCAGCAGGAGATCAGTTCCCAGTGTCAGACACTGATGCCACCCCAGGTACGTGTGGTTTACACACAGGGACATTTAGTGAGCCATGGGGAGACATATTCCCACCCAGCACGCTGAGTGTTGCCCCACACCAGCCAGTTTTTATCTTCAGAGCAGATTCCCTGGCTGGATGAGATCTGTCAGCACAAATCTGGCTAAATAGGAAGAGGAAAGGTACTCACAGTGGTGCAGAGCCTCCATCATCATCTTCACATTCGGGACAGCGTGGAAAGAAAGAACAAACAGCGTCAGGGAAGAGCATGTACAAAGTGACCTCTGCCTCCTCTTAAAGCACTGGGGACTATGCTCCAGGCAGCATTCCCACCACCACTTAAAAATGGGAAAGAGCCACAGCTCCTCTGGTGAGATGGCAGCACTGCACCGACCCATCTGCACCCGCCCCCACAGCTCCATGACTTGGGATGGCTCCCAAATCTGAGCACACTCACAGCAGGTAAAGGGGAAACCAAACAGGATGTTTCAGGAACAGGGGCTTTAAGCAGCAGCAGGAAGCCCTTTTCCCTTCCCACATGTTGTGACATCAAAACAAACACTGCACACCACGTTCTGGCTACACTGAGCAGCACAGCTAAGGAAACACCTCTGCCAACACGTGCCAAGCCCTGAGGCCTTTCACCAGCTCCCTGCAATCTGCCACCTCCCAACAAGAGGCTCCCAGACATCTCCTTCTGCTCCCCATTGCCTCTTCTACAGCCCTGGCTCCCCTCAAGTGACCCCAAGCCCCACACTCCAGGCACTGGGACCACCCTGGGCACCAGGATCTGCTCACAGCTGGTGAGAGGACAGAGGCAGACACGTGGCTGGAACTACCTTCTACTTACCATGTGAGGTGGCACCCAGCAGCAGAGAAGGGAAGAGTGGACAGGTAACACCAGCAAGAATATCACACCAAACACAGGCTGGACTGTCCCCATCCCAACCCAGGTGACAGAAGCGTTCAGTTCTCAGCCAGTACTGGGAGGAACCGGGTCAGACAGGCCTCACTGTCACCTCCTCTAAGGAGGGGCAAAGCTACAGGGACTTTAGGGGAGAGAGAACCACTTGGAAGATGCAGCTACAACATCCTTAAGAGGACACCTGCCTTCCACCAGCCAGGGGTGTCAGAGGGCAAAACATGTGCTTGTAAAACTGCCTTGAGTGGAATTCCAAGCCCTGCAGTCAGAAGACGGATATTAGGCCTTAGCCCCTCTGCTGCACCTCTCCTCAGGGGGCTGAGGGGCCCAGCAGTATCCGGGGCAGGAAGGATACAGAGCATTCACACTGCATTGTTAACAGGATCAGATAAGGGCGACCCAGCTGACACAATGCAGATCCTCACGGATAGGGAAAGGGAGGAGCTGGTGCTTCCAGAAGAGATTAAAGATAGTACCGGGCTTTGAGATCCAGGATGTGTTGATCTGATGACCCAAAACATTCTGAGCTGAACACAAGCTAAGCCTGGTCTTGCTGAGCTACTTATAGTCCCACAGTTTTACAGCATCACAAAAGCTCTACTTATTTACAAACCACCCTCTCCAGACTGGGAGCTGCCAAAGCAAACCCAGCCCTGAAGACACAGGAAATACTTGAGCAAAGAGCAGAGGTACTGGTGAGGCAAAAGGTCAGGCTGACCTGCACCGAATCCTCTCTTGTCCATCTCACTACAGGACTGCCAGAAACAGCACAGTTACAGGCAGTTTCATGTCTGAGGTGGCACGGTACAGACTGCTCTTGTTTCACAAGCGCCCTGAGTTCCCACCCTCAAATCAACCCCCTCTGACAAAGGGACCTCAAGAGTTCCCCGTGAGCCCATCCTGACACCCAACAAGCTACTTGATCTCCCCCCAGAGATTTAAACCCTGGCACCTCCTACCATCAAGAACCTCATCTGGCTTCCTCCTCTTCTCATAGATGAAGATGATGGTGACAAGAACAAGGACTTCTGCCACGATGCCCAGGAAAGGCCAGAGCGCTGCCAGGCGGCTGCGGACGCGCAGGTTCACCGTGGCGTCCCCGGAGCCGTAGGAATTGACGGCGTTGCAGCGATAGTCGCCCGTGTCCTCCTCAATGTTCAGCTTCAGAATGCGCAGCTCCGTCTTGTTGCCGCTGGACTTGATGATGTATCGCCCAGAGGCATTCTGTAGGTCCTGCAGGGAGGAGGGGGAATAAGAGAGCTCTGAGGGTAGCGCTGACTGACCGTGCACGGTCCAAACCCCCCAGAAATCCTCCTTCCCGGGGCACTGAGCTTTGAAAGACTCAATTCTGATGGCACAAGTTCCCCCACCTCTGTGCTGGGCAGGAGGGTTGGCAGAAGGGGAGAAGGAGCAAACCACAGCACTTACCCCTTCACCGTTTTTGTACCAGGACCAAGTGGTGACAGGGGGGAAGGAGGGATTCTTGCAGGTCAGCACACCTGTGTCCCCCTCGTTGCCATGCTCAGACTTCTTGTATGCCATCACCTGGGGGGCAACTATGGCAAGAGAACAAGAAATTCAAACACCTCATTATAGAAATCACATAGATTTGTGCTCTCTGCATCACCTCACAAAATCAGGCAGTTACCCCAAAGCTTGACCTCAGTAAGGCTGTTCCTCTCTCTACTTTGGCATTTTCAGAGGGGAAAGCAAACCAAGCTGCTTCAAGAAAGGCTCAAACAGATTTGTCCACCAGGTACTATCCTTCTCCCAGTGTTCCTGTGGGAACATGCCCACGGGAATGCAGGATCTAAGAGCAGACCCTGTAGACACAGCATTGCCTGATAACACGGTACACAGAGCCCTGCAGCCAGGTAAGGGCTGGGAGCAGCCCCTCAAGAACCTGAAAAGACACCACAGCAAAGTGTTCAGGAGATCACAGCTCCCCCATGCCCCTCCCCAGACCCAGAAGCAAACACACGAAGTTACCTGAAATATTCACTTGTCCTCTTATCTCCGGGTTGGTTTTGTAGACACACTCATACATCCCAGAGTGCTCCTCCATCTTCCCCTCGATCCTACCAAAACCAAGATTCAGGTAAGCATCCAGCACAACTGACTTACCCACAGACACCGACCTCCAGAGCCATGGAATCAGACATCCATAAGCATCAGCAACATCCTCTATAGCAAATTTCTCCCTTTCCAGAAGAGTATTTATGCTGCACCATGTACCTACAGGAACCCAACTCTCCACTCTCCCCTCCCCACACACTGAGGATGGCAGAAGAGGCTTTCATGTGCACCACATCTGACACGGGTCTGTCAAGTCAGAGATCACTGTTCCAGCCCTCTGAAACACAGGGTAAAGCAGGGGCAAAGATCATCCAGGCTGGGCTACTCTGGATCAATCCCAGCACAGGGAGAACTCTCCCATTCTCCTTCCTGTAAAGCTGCTGCAATGAGATTTAGTGGATTATGCAGCCCCGCAACAAACATCCCATTCTGCTGCTCAGTAATACCCACTCGAGGGAAGGGGCCCACAGAGTTTGTCCCGTGGCTGCACTGGGACAAGGGGCTGTTTGTTAGTTCTGCTGTGCACGGCGCTTCCCACTTCCAAAAACCACTCAGCTGAGGAATTGAGGTCACGCGAGGGAGGCTGGGTTATAAATACTTTAATCCTTGTTCAGCTCCCTGTTGCTATGGGGAGACAGGCACGTCGGCACTGCCATACAAAGGGACATGATGCCTCCACAGCTGCTGGGTCAGTGCCAGCCAGGCCTGACTGTAATGGGAAAGGAAAGCTCACTGCACTGCCACAACAAGGCCGCTATTCCCGCACTGAGCACAGACCACGGCTCGCTGCAGCTACCCAGCTCCTGTGAGAACAGCTGGACTTTGGAAAGGCACAAAAAGCCCCCAGGAGAGACAACATGCATTAGAGCCTCTCACTTCAAAGCTCTGGGGGAACAGCTCTGGCACAATGACCAGGCCCAACATGCTGTGCCCGACAAAGCAGAGCCCAGTTGAACACCTGCTTACGAACACAAACAGCAGAACTGCTCTACGAGGATATCTGTGGCATAAAACCATCCCTTCCTCCTCCTTTTTGTCCCCTCCTCCCCATAAAGGAGAGTGTTGGGCCTTACCAAAACTCTGTCCAGCTCATCCTATGCTCTACAGTCCCAAAGGTCTGTTATCAGCAGGGCTACAAGCACTCAGCCCTGGGTCCAGCTGACAGCAAACACCAACTGCCTCTGGGAAAAAACATGCCCATGCTCAGGTTCTGACCTTGCCCTGACACTCACGTGTAGCTGGTGAAAGCACTGTCGGTCTCGTCCTCTTGCAGGACCTTGTCCCCATGCATCCACTCGTGGCCCTTGATGGTGGAGTATGGCCCAGACATGTTACAGGTGAGGACCAGCTTGCCAGAATCCTCAGCGAAATGAGCCTTGATGTCCGGACCTGCATTCGTAAAGAATTGGATTTAGGTTAACACAGGGTATTGCAGAGCTGACACAGGGCCCAAGAACCTGCAACACAAACCCCACAGCTCCTCGTCTATCCCAGCTTCCACTTACCTTCATACAGAGTTCCCTACCAGCCCTGACAGTGCCAGCAGCAGACAGCCCCCAGCACCAGGTGACTGGGCCTGAGTGCACCTGAGACAGCAACGCTGACCCTGCAGCTGCTCCCCTACAAGCAGGACCCTCTGCTGTGTCCTGCATCACTTGGAGCCTCTACTGTTGCTACCATGGGTGCAGCCCCAGCAGAGCCCAGTGCTCAATAAGCAATGGAAAAGGTCACTCTGAAGGGCAGAGCACAGCTCTCTGCTGCTGCGAGCCACCAGAGCACTCGTGTGCCAACACCTCCTACCACCTGAGCAGCTTCAGACACCTCCAGGTAACACAGAGGGCAGTCAGGACCCTCTGTTGCAAGGGGCAGCAGACCAGACCGTGTGGCAGCAATATGTGCTTCATCTGAGGCAACCCAAAGGGTTTAGTCAGAATTACTCCAGGGAGAACAGAGCCATGACTCCAAAAGGCCCTGGGCCTCCATGTGCCAGGCAGCAGTAAATTATGCAACAAAAGATGACTCAGGCATTTCTACTCATAGGAGGCTGTCCGAGAAGGCAGCTGCCACCAGCAGCTCCATTACACAGCCCTGGTGGCACTACGGTCCCCACCCTTCTGCCCGACCTCCATCCCTTGGAAGGAAGAGTTTTTGCCAGGGTTGACAGGCACTTTGCTTTTCCTCCTATCCAAATTCCACTGGAAGAAGGTTCTGCTGGAGTTCTGCATTCCCTAGCACATTTCTGCTGAGAAGGCAGCTATGCCCATCTAACTCATGGGAAGACCTCACCAGGATGTTAAGCTCCCTCCCAGGTTTCCATCACTCAGAGCAGTCTGTGCGCTCCAGCGCTCGCCGCCCGCTCTGCGAGAGGGAACCTGGCCACGTCCACAGGACAAGCAATGACATCACACTCAGTGTCACACAGACACGGCCATTTCAAAAATGGTTGCATCTCAGACCTCAAAGCAGGTTTTGTTCCCCACAGCCTGGGTCACCAGCACAGAAGCGAGCTCAAAGCAGGGCTGCTGAGAGGAGCGGGAGCTGTAGGAGCCGCAGGAAAGGGCCGCTGGTCAGTGGTGGTTAGGGCAGAGTCGACCGCAGAATCAAGGCTCAATTCTGCGGCCACACCAGGGCTCGAAGGCGCTCGGGGATAAGCGGCAGGTTCCAGGTCTTTGGCTCCAGAAAAGGCGCAGGATTGCCGGAGGGCGAATTGGTTGGGAAGCCACAACCCTTTTTGAGCAGGGCCATTTCGGGTCAAGTCACAGGTGGTGGGGAGTCGACAGAGGGTGGGAGTCTCTCAGTTCTACAGCGGGGGGTGGGAGGGTGGGGGAGCTTTTGGGAGCCACAGGACACGGGTGCAGGGGTGAGCATGGCAGGAGACTCAAGACACCAGTGTCCGAGCAAGTGCCAAGGCCTCGACGTGGCCACTCACGTTCGATGACAAAAACGTTCGCCTGGGAACGGATCCACTTGACTTTGGGGCTCTTCGACAAGTGGTTGCGGTCGGGATCGTTGCTAGCCCGGCACTCATACATGCCCGAGTCGTCACTCGTGAGGTTTGCGATGTAGATGGTACTGGTAGAGTGCAGGTTGTAGGTGGCGTTGATTTTGACACGGTCCTGCCGTGCGCCATCCCAGAGCTGAGCATAGGTCTCATTGGGATCGTTCCCCTCAAACCACCACTGGATCTCGGGGATGGGATTGCCAATCGCCTCGCAGTACAACTCCACGCTGTCCTGAGTCAGTCTCTTTTGAGACAGCGGTGACTTTATAAAACCAGCTATGAGTTGAAGAGGTATTAGTGCAAAGTGTTAGTGCAAAGCAAGAATTCACCTTCTACAAGCAAAAATAACCCTCAGCGACTGAGAAGAGGCTGCACATCATCTCCAGATCAGCACGCTCTACCTACCCTCCCTCCCTCCACGCTCTGAACTCTGCCTGGCTCAGACAGGGCTGTTCACTTCATATCTCCTGCGGCTCCGCTGCAAAACCAGCACAGACAAAACAGCACTCTGTGTTTGCCACTATCCAAACTGGACACCCAGGGCTTCGCCCACCTACTGCGAGGGACGGTCGTGCCTCCGGGGCAGACCAGGGGCTGCAACGCTCCACGGCCCCCGGCGCTTCCAGTTCCAGACTTTTTTGTGAGGGCTTATGCAGCCTCCACAGTCCCCAGCCTGTGCTCTGGCAAGGTGCCACACAGGTCCCGTCACCACGAAAGGCTGGGGGGCAGTGAGGTGGTGGGACCCCAACACGTGTCCTGCTGCAGAGAGGGCGGCAGCGCCAGAGCACAGACTGAGCCCCTCCAAGTCAGTTTGGGTAAAATGGGAAAAGTGCTTCCCTGTGCCCCCCTCCCCCGAGAGGAACATGCCCATTCCCCCTCCCTGCACAGCCCCAAGGCTGGCTGACCATAACTGGGAGCTGGCTGGGGCCCAGGCCCCCCTCGCTGTGCCACGGCTGGAGGACCTGGTGCACAGCCACACATACCAGCCCCTCACCACCCTCCACCTGCTCACAGCCTTGTTTCATCCCTCTGCTCACCAAGGTGCCTGGCAGGAACTTCTGAGCACAGTACTGAGGTAACAACTTTTTTGGGGGAGGAGAAAGGTCTTGCAGTCTGCAAGACGTCCTGAGCCAGGTGGGGAAACGTGTAAATTTGTTGTCATACAAACAGTGAAATCAGACTTTTCATCTCGGGCAAGACCAGCCTGAAGAACTGAACTAGCAATAAACAGATCAGAGGCACAGGCAGCAGCTGCAGGCTGGAATTCAGGTATTTTTCACTCTGCCCTTGCAGCCAGAGGCCAGGGGGTTCAGTGCTGCAATCAGCCAGTCCAAAGGTCGGTCCCGTGTGCTGAGGGAAGCGAAGCTGCCAAATGTCTTCGGGCTCCAGGGCAGGCACAGGGCAGCACCCACAGCCCTGGGAGCCCTTCCCAGGGCAGGCAGGAAGGGAGGTTCAGTGGTTCTGCTTCGGGAAAAGCCATCAGGCCCAGGTCGAGGTCACTACGTGACTCACCCTAAGCCAGGTTTCAGAAGCAGTTCAGCTTTCCACACGTCCTTCCTGCACTAATGGGCGGTCCTGCACACCAAGAGCCTTCCAGGAATTAATTCACTCAGTTAAGAGCACTTCACGATCATACAGAACCCTCCACCGATGCACCATGACGTACAAGCACAGAGGAGGTGGGTTTGGGAGAGGGTTTTTTTTGTACGCCTGAAAATGTTTTAACAGGAAATTCTAGGACTGTTTTTGTGAGAGTAGAAACAAATCAGTGTCACAAACCTAAGTTTGCTCAAACTGAAGAAAAATACAAGTCAGTTTGTAAGCTAAGCTTGACTCCTAAATAAATCAATTCCATGTTTCTCAAAGGAAAAATTAGCTTTACATATTAAAGTCTCGAAAGTCTTGAAGAATAAGCATCCCTGAAAGGGAAAGGATCCTCATGTGCAGCCAAGACGCTCCTGGGAGAAGGTTGACACTGATTTTAAATAAGTGGGAGGTCCAGGGGTCCCCACAGATGTACAGGACAGGGGTATCAGCTGTGAGCAGCTCTCTCACACCCTGGGTTCCACTCCCAGGACCAATGACCTGTGTGCCGTGGGAGACTTTTCACACCACAGGCTTGTGATCAAAGATTCCTTGTTCTGACAAGCCCTGGAACTGCCCACAGCACTTGTACAAGCCTGTCCATTCCAACTGCAGCCTGAATTAAAGCAGGAGCTGGTAAAGATCAAGGGGTTTACAGCTACAAGGTGATTACTGTACTCTGATAAAATAAGCTGTGCAAGGTTATTTGCTCTGAGTTAGAGGGTACCTCGTGCAGTTCAGGCAGGTTAAAAGACTCAAGAGCAAGTAGCAGCAGCAGTGGGTACCATTTGCATTCCCATGAGATTAATGTTCCCCCTGTTCCCACCAGAAAGCCGAGCAGGCAATCCCAGTCCCAGGCTCTCCAGGCTGGGGAAAGCGCCTGCTGAGCCCAAGGCACAGGAGCACAGGCAGCAGCAACCCACTGGAATCGATCGGGGCTGCTCACACATTTTCCAAAGAGTGCCAGGCTGCAGACTGGAATCAGCTCCCAAAGGCCAGACATTCCCCACAGAGCTGAGCCGGAGCCTCCCCCGGCGCCTCCCGGGCACAGCAGCAGTATCTGATCCAGCAGAACAGCAGGGAAGGCAGAGAGACCAGATAACGTTCTCCAGAGTCACCTTCCAGCTGAAAACAACCTCTCCACTCGACGAGGGAGGAGTCCCCGGGGTGTAAACAGCCTGGACACCCTTGGGGCAGAGCAGCCTGACCAGAGCCCCACTGTCCCACAGGGTATGTGCTCCCGCCTGGCCTGACCTTTGCTTCTTGGCTTGGGAAGGGGATAGCTGAGGCTCTGATGCTTTTTGCCATTTTCACTAACAGCTACAAAATCTGCCCTTAAGCTTCACACAGCCAGGCCAAAGCCAGGGTCCCTCCTCCTGAGGGCACAGAGTCCAGGCACACACCAACCTACACTCAGGGTGAGCTGCCACCCAGCCTGCTCTGTAAAAAACAAACCTAAACACCGCTGAGAGGTCAAACCCCCACTTTCCAACCCCCACTCTGCTACCTCGAGGCACCAGCACTGTTACACACCAAGCCCAGGAGCCCGGCAGGACACGGGTGTTACACAACTGACGGGGCAGCTCGTCCTTCTGGGGCTTTTCAGACCAAGGATAGAAACTGCCTCCTCCACGTCCCACTGGTGCCAGTCCCCTGGCAGGAGGCCAACAGAGGCACAGAGGGAGTGGGATACAGCAGACCCGGGCAGCTCCAGATGAGTTTATGAAACTTTAACTGTGAGGTTTGGGAGCAGGCTCTGCCCTGAAGAATTAAAATGCAACTCTGCAGCAAGGAAATACTTTAAGCAGACACTTCTATCACACCCCAGCTTTTCCAGAATCCTCCCAGTCTTTCACCTTCAGTCTTTGGTTCTACTATGGTGAAATTAGCCTGGTACCACAAACTGCCTACAAGCACCTGGCGCTCTAAACAGCCAGGACCAGCGGTCCGCCCCTGGCGATCAAACTGAGCCTCTTCCATCAGCACCCCTTGCACGCGGACTGATCCAGAAGCAGCAGAGTCCTGCGGACGGACCAGGGCTGGGTTTGCCATGGACTCCTCCAAAATCTGAGAACGTGAAAGGTGAAGCCCCAGCACGGGGCAGACCCGGCTCCTCCCTGCGGGACGTGCTTTAATCACCCACCGTGGGGCTGCCGGACCCGCTCGGCGCCGGGGATTACCGGGGACACCTTTAGGGTTTAAAGCCGAGAAACCGGAGAAGCAGCTGCGGGGAACAGGATGCCTCGGTTTTCCTAAGGAGAAAACAACCCCGGAGCGCCAGCGGACCCCGCCTTCCCCCCGGCCACGGAGAGCGGCGAGCAGGCGGTGCGCGGGGGAGCCCGAGCCCCGGGACCGCCCGGCGGCAGCGCCGAGCTCCGCCCGGCCCGGCCGCCCCCGGCCCGCTCCGAGCCCCCGGCCCGCTCCGAGCCCCCGGCCCGCTCC